TAACTTCGAAAGAACATTTTTTATAATTTTCAATTCACCGAATAATCATTTCTCATTATTATTATTGTAGCGAATAAGTATTTTTCATGATTTTTCCAAAAACCTGTTTATACTATTTTTGATTTTACATAATTACCATTTTTTTATAATTTTTTTTCCTTCCAATTACCATTTTGTATAATAAATATTTTTTCGAACAATTATTTGTTCTAAAATGTAATTGACCAAATTTATACTTTATCTATTTTTAAAAGCAACGATTAGCTATTTTATATAATTTTCAATTTACCGAATAATCATTTCTCATAATTATTATTGTAGCGAATAAGTATTTTTCATAATTTTTATTTTTCCCAAAAACCTGTTTATACTATTTTTGGTTTTACATAATTACCATTTTTTATAATTTTTTTTCCTTCCAATTACCATTTTGTATAATAAATATTTTTTCGAACAATTATTTGTTCTAAAATGTAATTTACCAAATTTATACTTTTTCTATTTTTAAAAGTAACGATTAGCTATTTTATATAATTTTCAATTTACCGATTTGCCATTTCACATAATTTCTAAATTTTCAAATTATTATTTTTCCGAATTTCAATTTTAACGAATTATTAATATTAGAATTATTTCTTTAGCAAATTACCATTTAACATAATTTTAATTTCCCCTAATATTTATTTATTCTAATCATTATTTTCTCGAATCGTTATATGCCATAATCAGAATTTTACCGAATCTTCATTTGCCCTAACATACTTCCGGTCAATTTCAGTACTGTAGTTTCCCATCTACATTAATTTCTGGAATTTTTGCGCCACTTTTTGTGACGCAACCTACCATACCGACAAGCGATGGCCTGGCCATAAATTCCAGAAATTAATGTAGATGGGAAACTACAGTACTGAAATTGACCGGAAGTATGTTAGGGCAAATGAAGATTCGGTAAAATTCTGATTATGGCATATAACGATTCGAGAAAATAATGATTAGAATAAATAAATATTAGGGGAAATTAAAATTATGTTAAATGGTAATTTGCTAAAGAAATAATTCTAATATTAATAATTCGTTAAAATTGAAATTCGGAAAAATAATAATTTGAAAATTTAGAAATTATGTGAAATGGCAAATCGGTAAATTGAAAATTATATAAAATAGCTAATCGTTACTTTTAAAAATAGAAAAAGTATAAATTTGGTAAATTACATTTTAGAACAAATAATTGTTCGAAAAAATATTTATTATACAAAATGGTAATTGGAAGGAAAAAAAATTATAAAAAATGGTAATTATGTAAAACCAAAAATAGTATAAACAGGTTTTTGGGAAAAATAAAAATTATGAAAAATACTTATTCGCTACAATAATAATTATGAGAAATGATTATTTGGTAAATTGAAAATTATGAAAAATGTTCTTTCGAAGTTAAAAAATTCTGTCAAATAATAATTCGCAAGTATTTTTATTATATAATCTGACGATTCGAATTCAAAAAATTATACTCAATTCCTTTTAGATAAAACGATTTTCGAGAAAATAAAAATTCGAAAAAACAAATTCGGGATTTAATCATGCGCCTCACCTGTGATAATAAAAGCATTCGGTGTCATGCATGCTTAGAATGGTATCACCAAGTGTGTGTGAATTTAAAAAAAAAAGCCAAAGACTGCAAAAACTGGTTTTGCAGTTTGCAAAAATATAAATAAAGAAAAATATAAAAAAATTCCTTGCATTTTTATTATTTCAGCAATTCCATGTAAAATTAAGTTTTTTGCTCAAAAAATACTCAAGTTTAAAAAAAAATTTATTTTGAAAAATTAAAATTTTTTAATTTATTTATTAGAAAAAAAAATTTTTTATTTTTAATTTTGCTTCCTCGTGGAGGAAGCTTTGTAATCTTTTCGTTTATAAAATTTTTAAAAATGGTAAAAACAAATTTTCTTCTATATAAAAACATGTTATATGAGATCCTGATCAATTGTCCGGATGTATATATGTGTGGATCGTTTTTGTGAACACAATATCTTTAAGGACGTTCATCCACGGAAATGTAGACCTCTAGAAAAAAATAATTAATTAACATTTCAATAATTAAAATAATATTATTAATTGTACTTTCGGAAAGATGAGATATTAATTTTCAAGAAAAAAAATTTTAAACCTGCAAAATTTATTTATTTATACAATTTGCATAGGATAACATTTTTTTGTTGTATCGCTTCTACAGAATTTTTTAAAAATGATTCGATTTCAATGAAATATGGCTTATTTTCTTCGGAAAATTATTCTCTACAACTTCACCGTGAGATTTTTTAAACAAGCAAGCCGTTTGGAATATATGGCTATTTGTTTAAAAAATTCAAATTTTTCTTTTAAACAAATTTGTTTAAAAAATTCAAATTTTTCTTTTAAACAAATAGCCATATTTTCCAAACGGCTTGCTTGTTTAAAAAATCCCACGGTGAAGTTGTAGAGAATCATTTTCCGAAGAAAATAAGCCATATTTCATTGAAATCGAATCATTTTTAAAAAATTCTGTAGAAGCGATACAACAAAAAAATGTTATCCTATGCAAATTGTATAAATAAATAAATTTTGCAAGTTTTAAATTTTTTTCTTGAAAATTAATATCTCATCTTTCAGAAAGTACAATTAATAATATTATTTTAATTATTTAAATGTTAATTAATTATTTTTTTCAAGAGGTCTGCATTTCCGTGGATGAACGTCCTTAACAGGTTTTAATGGATTTGGGTAAAATTAAGTAGGCTCATTTATAACCGAATCCATGTCAAATTATGCAGGCAGTCCGATGATATATTGCGAATTAATTTCAGAATGAAGTATGTTATTTTACTTGAAAAATAAAGAAATACGTGTTTTTTTATATTTTGATTCGATTTTGTGAGTAGTTTTTACGACTTTTTAAAGATTTTTTCAAGAAAATTAATTTTTTTGCATTTTTCGCTTAAAAAAAGCATAACTTTCGTAATTTTTAACCTTTTTTGTTGCTCCTGGGCTTATTTTTTTCATTTTTTTTTTTACTCTTTTAAAAAATGTTGCTCCGAATGAAAAATATTAAAAAACAAGGATAAAAATGGAATTTTTCGAAAAAACAAAAAAAAATTTTTTCTCAAAAATGCCACCTTTTTTTTGCCCCAAATTTTCAGGATTTATTGGTACACATATGTACTACATACCATAAAAATTTCACTTGGTATTTTTTTGTTTCTTAGGAGAAAAAAATATTTTCATTTTTTTGATTAAAAACTCTAAAAATCATCAAATTTAAAAGGTTTCTAACTGCTCCTTGATTCATTTTTTTTACTTTTCAACATTATTTTCGAAAATTGCGCAAAAAATAAAGAATGTTAATAATTTGCAAGAAAAATAACTTTGTTTTAAAAAAAAACGAAAAAAAAGATTTCAAAAAAATTTTTTTTTTCAAAATTGCTTTTTAGATTTTTTATGTATTGATCAATTCTAAAAGCAATATTTAGAAAAAAAAACAATTTCAACAATCCAATCAATCGATCGAATTATTTTCGAAAATTGCGTAAAAAATAAAGAATGTTAATAATTTTTAAAAATATCTAATTTTTTTAGAGAAAAAAAACGAAACAAATAGGTTTCAAAAATATTTTTTTTATACGTACATTTTTGTTTGTCAAATCGTTTTAAAAGGAAATATAAAAAGTAGTTTTATAGAGCAAAAAAAAATTTTTTTGAAATCTTTTTTTTCGTTTTTTTTTAAAACAAAGTTATTTTTCTTGCAAATTATTAACATTCTTTATTTTTTTGCGCAATTTTCGAAAATAATGTTGAAAAGTAAAAAAATGAATCAAGGAGCAGTTAGAAACCTTTTAAATTTGATGATTTTTAGAGTTTTTAATCAAAAAAATGAAAATATTTTTTTTCTCCTAAGAAACAAAAAAATAAGTACCAAGTGAAATTTTTATGGTATGTAGTACATATGTGTACCAATAAATCCTGAAAATTTGGGGCAAAAAAAAGGTGGCATTTTTTTTTTAATACATAAAATAATTTAATTCCTTGCATTGAAACAAATCGATTCGTATATATAAAGTATATGATACACGCAAAATGAATTACAATTTTCTTAATTTTTCAAAAAATTTAATGAATTTAAATCAGTTTTTAACTCGAAATGTTTTAAATCAATTAATTGAATTAGAGAAATTCATAGCTTCCTCCACGAGGAAGCAAATTGTTTATAAAATAAACATAAAGAACTCCCTCCGTTTAAATTGAAAAAATTCATGAACCTTCCTTAATATGAGCCAAAGACATGTGCCAAATTTGGCGAATACCTTATTTTTTGTTTTTGAGATATTAATTAATTAATAAAAATTAATAAAAAATGAAATATTTTACGAACAAATAAAATTAGAATAATTGTAAAAACACTATGATATATATTATTCTTCAATTTAAAAAAAAAATTAATTATAAACTTAGATAATTAATTTAAAAATTCCCGCCTAATTTATAGAGGCTGTAACACAAGCAGACGACGAATTTTTGGAAAATTCTCTTTTCACATATACATAATATATATGTATATTATCATAAAGTTTAGGTTACATATATCCCCATCTTTGTAAAAATAAAGGATTTCAATAATTTTTATTAAGAAAAAAAAATACTCACTTATTTATTACCTGCTTTTTCTTATAATATGCTTTTTTAATTTGACTGGCGAAATAATTTAGTTTTCTTAATTCGACAGTTTCGTTATAACAGTGTATTATTTCTCTAGCGGGCGAAATAATTCAGTTTTTTTTATTTCGCCGGTTTTTTTAAAACCATATTCTTCTCTGGCTGGCGAAATAAACTATTACTTTTATTTCGCCAGTTTTTTTCCTTCCATGTATTTTTACTAACTGGCGAAATAAACTATTCTTCTTATTTCGCCAGCTAGTCGGCGAAATAGTCACTTCGAATATATAAAAGAAGGTTAGAATTTTACTTACATTTGACTAATTCTTGATTATAAGTTTGTAAAGCGGCACCGTGTTGTGACATAGTGAATTATCATAAGAGAATGTAATTACAATTTACAAATAACTAATAATTATTTAACTTCTCAAATAACTTTATACAAAAAACAGTATACACAAAAAAATAACGATTAAAAAATCAACAAACATTCAAAAGATTTTCTCTTGGTTAAAATTAGGTTTAGGTAGTGACACAGTGAACTTTGTAGATCTCACTTTAAGGATAAAATCACAAGTTTACATTATGGTGCGTTCACATTATATTTGAAAAATTAACATTAAAATGGAACGTCCCAAATGTTTCACAAATCAAACTACTGCTGCAGCAGTGTGTTATTTTTGCATTTTCATTTTCAAAACCTAGGCCGTTTCCGAATTGCGATTTTTGATTTTGTTTTGTAAACAAAACAAAATCAAAAATGCGACAAAAATCCCAATTCGGAAACGGCCCTAATTAGGCTCTGTCACTTGTGACGTCAGAGCGTTTCGAGGTGAGACTTCGTTGGCCTGGAGGGACAAGAAAGCAGACGACACATTGTAATCTTATGGAGAAATAAATTTGATGTCACTATTATTGAATTTACTCAAATCTTAGTCACTTAAAATGCTTATTGGCTTGAAAAAATAGTCTAATGTAGTCTACTAATTAAATGTGTTACACATTTGATGCAGTTGCATCGCAATATTTGCAGGATTTTCTATTAAATACATTTTAGTGAGGTTAGGAATATTTGTTTACATATACTTGTTATTTTATACGATTTGCGTTGATTTCCATTTAAAATATGTTCTTCACATATTTTAAATATAATATGTACAAAATATCGTTTTATTATGCATTTAAAATAAAAAATTTACTTTGTAAACAAACACTCCTAACCTTTATACTAATACAAATTTATTGACAAATCTTGGAATATACACATGTAACTGGCTCACATGCATAACAAATTTGATTAATAATGCACGCATTTTATTGTTACTTCAAGCCAACAAGCATTTCAAGTGATTAAGATCTGAGTAAATTTAATATAAGTGATTTCAAATTTATTCCTTTCTAAAAAAATACATGACATAAAAAGGTCGAATGGATATATCGAAAACTCTCGAAAAATCGAACTTTTAATTAAAAGCATGGGGAATGTAAAATCTTAATAGAAGGGCGAAACATATCTCTAGATTAGAAATGTACATGTGGAGCTGAAGTTAAAAAATTCACTAACTTTAAACTTCTTTTTAATACACATTCTTTAACAATCAATTCTTGTTTTTACAGTACGACGAAAGTTCGAAAGGTAGTTTAATTATACCTTTCCAATGGTATATTATTTTTTTGGACAAGCTAATTTTCCTATAGGTGAATTTAAGTAACGTCACACCTCGAAAATGTGTTTTTTTAGATTCAGCAAAATTGCACGAAGGAAAAAAATATCCAAAAATATGTTTTTCTTACTTAAAAAACACCTATTAATAAAAAAAAATGTTTCGTACGATTGGCAATTTCACTGTAAATTGGTGTGATTTATGACAATTTGAAAAGTTTTTAAAATGTTTTAAATTATTGAATTTTACTTAAATATGATTAAAAACATTTTTATTACATTTACTTTTACAAAGAATTATGGCGCACTCACACCTTTTTTGGCTGCCTGCCTGCCTGCAGGTTACCATGGCAACGCACGAGTGTGAGTGAGACAGGAATATTCAAATTTTTCTGTCGCACTTACTCTCATGCGTTGCCATGGTAACCTGCAGGCAGCCAAAAAGGTGTGAGAGCGCCTTTAGAATAATTTTAAAAATAATTGAATTTCGGAAAAGTCATATATTCGCAAGATTCTTAGATCGAATTAATTCAATTTTAAGAGATTTTTAATGGAAACTTTTTTTTACAATTAAATAGCTACAGATTACTGTAAAAACAAAAAAAAACAATAATTGATTGCTAAAGAATCTGTATTAAAAAAAAGTTTAAAGTTAGTGAATTTTTAAAGAACTTCATTAAAATTAATAAAATTAATTAATTTGTAAATAACTTTTTAAATACAAATAATATTTCATATTTAACATTTACTATTTATTCAATTACTTAATTTTTTGAAAATATGGAATTATGTGATTTTATAATATACTTTTCAAAAATAGCAGACGACATTCATTAGGGAAATCAATAGTTTAAGGTTTTTCCCATTACGAACGCCACCTCCGACTATTCTAATTGTCCGGAATGCTTTTACCAGATTTGGGAACAAAGCGCGATCCCTGGCGGATCTCGAAATCGGAATGTACGCTGAATTCGTTGTACATTCGTTACACATTGGTTAAACATTTAGTTTGAGTGAAAATTGTGTAGAAACTGAGTGGAAACTGTTGAAAAGTGTAATTGAATTGAATAATAAAAGTATTTAGTGATAGATTTGTGCTGTATTTGTGATAAATTAACGTGTTATTATTAAATAAATAAAGTTTAAAGTGTAAAATGTTCGCGTAAAGGTGCTTATATACCTCAAATTTCGATCAGATGAACATTATTTCTGGACCGTGAAAATGCGTGAAAAGTCATTTTCACGGCGGGTATTTTTGAATTGTTTTAAACAAAAAATGTTTTTTTAAGAAATATAATATTAAATAATTGTTTTAATATGTAAGAACACTTTAAAATAGTGATAGAAAGATGATTTGATTAAAAAATTTAGCAAATTTTGCTTTAAAACTTTTCTGCTACAAGAAAGTGTAAAATGACGATGTTTGTGAAATGGTTTGTACAGTGCTTCTTCCTTGTTAGTGTCTCTCAGAGTTTTGTTTATGTTATGTCGGTTCTTTTTAACTTGTAATAAATAATGAGTGCTGAAAATAAATCGGTAAGTTGAAATGTTTATCAAATAAATTTAAATTCAACTAATTGTTTCGAATAACTGAAAGAAACATGTATACATGTACACTGTACAAACCATTTCACAAACATCGACATTTTACACTTTCTTGTAGCAGAAACGTTTTAAAGCAAAATTTGCTAAATTTTTCAATCAAATCATCTTTTTATCACTATTTTAAAGTGTTCTTACATATTAAAACAATTATTTAATATTATATTTCTTAAAAAAAACATTTTTTGTTTAAAACAATTCAAAAATACCCGCCGTGAAAATGACTTTTCACGCATTTTCACGGTCCAGAAATAATGTTCATCTGATCGAAATTTGAGGTATTGGGATCTGAAATACTGCGATACGCCATCTGGTGACGACCTCGTTGTGTCAGCCATTTTTCGTTTCATCCTTTTTAAAATATATGTAGATGAAAGAGATAAAAAATCAAGATGGCTGACGCAACGAGGTCAGTTTCCCCATAATTCCCTATGATTTCAGATCCCAATATAAGCACCTTAAGTGAGTTTGACAGGCTAGGGAATTTTCTAGTGACATCCAAATTGATGGTCGATAAAGAAGTTGAGCCGCCGACTTTGCACGGTAGGTGGCAGCATTCATACTTTCTTTTTTTTTTAAATTCTCATTTTCAATTGTAAATAGAAAAATTTATTAATTGATAAGTTATATAGTTTCTATGTTGTCATTTTTTTTAACAATTGAATTTTTAAAGATTGTTTAATGAGATAAATTAAACTTTTATAATCGATGCAAATTGTTGTTTTTAAAATACTTATAAATAAATCTTTTCTTTTAATTACATTTATATTAAAAATAAATAATAATAAAATAAAGAAAGATAAAAAAAGTTTTCTTTATTAAAATTATGATTAAATTAATTTAATTGAATTTAATTAAAAAACAACAATTTGCATCGATTATACAAGTTTAATTTATCTCATTAAACAATCTTCAAAAATTCAATTGTTAAAAAAAAATGACAACATAGAATCTATATAACTTATCAATTAATTAATTTTTCTATTTACAATTGAAAATGAGAATTTTTAAAAAGAAGAAAGTATGAATGCTGCCACCTACCGTGCAAAGTCGGCGACTCAACTTCTTTATCGACTATCAATTTATTTATTTAATAATAACACGTTAATTTATCACAAATACAGCACAAATCTATCACTAAATACTTTTATTATTCAATTCAATTACACTTTTCAACAGTTTCCACTCAGTTTCTACACAATTTTCACTCCAATTAAATGTTTAACCAATGTGTAACGAATGTACAACGAATTCAGCGTACATTCCGATTTCGAGATCCGCCAGGGATGATTTTAAAATATGTAATTCATTTTAATATAACACTTATATAATATAAAGGCGCATTCAGACCTCTCGGCTGCCTGCCTGCCTGCCTGCTGTAGTTACCATGGTAACATGATAAGAGTGAGTGAAGCAGAAAATTTAAATTTTTCGTCTGTTTCACTCACTCCCATTATGTTACCATGGCAACTGCAGCAGGCAGGCAGGCAGCCGAGAGGTCTGAATGCGCCTTAATATATTATTTTCCTTTGTTATTAATAAATAATTTATAAAAAACAAAAATGAACATAATTACAACTGTAGGTAGTGAAAAATATTGTTTTTAAAGAAATTTTTTGAAAATGATTAGCGCAAGAGAGATTATAGCGTAAATCACTCTCTCTTATTTCACATTCATAAATTTTTTCTTTACATTTTGAATCGATATGAAATAAAAAAAAAGAAGAAATTAAATCATTTTTTTAAATGAAATAAATAAAATGAAAATTGAAAAAGGAACAGAAGCAACGAAGACGCTAGTTTTTCCATAAGATTATTACATATGTCGTCTGCTTGGTTGTCCCTCCAGGCCTCTGACGTCATATCTTGATCTCGAAATATATCGATGAACTGACAGAGCCTAAATCAGTGGTAAATGTACAATCTCCAAAAAGATTTTTTACAGTGTGAGTTTCATATCTCACCACCAGACTGTTTTTTTTAATCGTGCTTGTTTTTTGTTATTGTTTTTTTTAGAAAGAGAGAAAAGATAGTGTTATTTTTAAATTTCATTTATATTATTATATTTTTAAGTTAATAGCACATTATGGTTATATCGTGTAAAGTTAAGAATTGTTTTAATCAGTGGTTACCAAATAATAATGTGTCATTTCACTCGTAAGTATATTATATTCTATTGACTAAAATGCTATCAAAATGTTGTTATATGATCAACACAAATCCTTATAAAAGAATTGATGAAGAAATTATAATTATAAACAAAAATGTAATTTCTAATTTAAATATATGTTGTGTTTATTTATTTCCATCCGCATTCATTGTATTTCTAACCTTAATGTGAATCCTAACCGTTTATCAGAATAAAATTAACAAGTTTCTATATCTAAAATAATTTTAGTTGTATAAGTACAATTAACGTTTTTATTATAATTTTGTTAATTACTATTTTATTATATATATATGATTTATTTTTAAGAATTATATAGGTATATATTAAGTCAATTTTCACATATATTTAAATTTGTATTAAAAATTTTATTTTCAATTTTTCAAAACAAAATTAAAGGATACGAACAATTTTAAACGCGAGATTTTAGTCATATTATATTTAAAAAAAATTTAGTATAAACAACTTTTTTAGATAATTTTTTTGTATTAAATTTTCGAAAAGTTTACTTAAAATATACACATAATTAAAAAAATAAAACTTTTAAATTGATGTATTTTTAATAAAGTTATGAGAATTGAAAAAAAAAAAATTTCTAAGTTAAGTAATATGTTGTAATTTAAATGCTTTTATAGTTTCCCTTGGAAAAATAAAGTACGCTTAGAAATTTGGTTGAAATCAATACAAGTCAAAGGACCAGTAGGAAAATATTCTAGAATTTGTAGCGAACATTTTAAGGAAATTGATTTTGTGGATGCACCAATGAATGTTAATCGAACTTTGAAAAAAACGGCTGTGCCATTTTCTTTCGAAAACAGTATTAAAATTGAAGTAAGTATTTAAAATCCAACAAAAACATCTTTGATGCAAAAAGTTACGCCAAGCAAAAATTATCTTAACCATTCACACCTCTCCTCAAGCGCCGTAAAGTTATACAAAAATGGATCCAACTTTGGACAACGAAAACTTGTAGGATTGGGCTTATATTTTCCAAATTTTCAAACCGTGAAATTGCCCCAGCTCCTATATTCAAATAAAACGAATTTTTGTAATTATCCCAAAGAAAAATCTTGAAAAAACCGATTCTTTACGTTTGGACGCAAAAAATGTTAGTAAATATCTATTATTTGCAAACTTTTCTAGTTTATAAACGCTGTACAAGGTTCTACTTACCTGTCAGTAATAAAAAAGAAAAAACAATTAAGAAGAAATATTTTTTTACTGTAATTTCGAGTAAAAAATTAGTATTAGCATGAAAATAGAGAACATGATAGAAAACTTTGTTTAAACTTTGTTAACAAAAGTTTATTTTTTCACACATACATAAAGCCATTTTTACAAATTTTGTAATGGTCCATCAATGTCTCACAAATTTAACGAGGACAATTCTACCACTGCCTTATAAAGTTGTATCGCGAATCTTTTATCTCCAATGTTGTTTATTTTGTATGGTTCCCAAATTTCCATGAAATGGTGATAAATCGCTTCTCCTGCCTGTTCAGACCAATAGCCTAAGCCATTGCCGTTTTCTATCGTTTCTAAACTCTCTTCTATATGTTCTTTAAGGACTTCTATATGTTCTCTATTTTCATGCTAATACTAATTTTTCACTCGAAATTCATAATACAGTAAAAAAATATTTCCTCTTAATTGTTTTTTCTTTTTTATAACTGACAGGTACCCAGTAAAAAAAAAAAGAATTAGGAGTAAGCGAAAAGAATTGGTGGTAACTTAAGCTGAATTCGGTTTGGCGAAAAAACCGAATTGGAACGTTACGGTGAATTATTTTTTTCATACCGTGAATTCTTTTCTCTTAAACATTTGAATTGACGTTTGTTTATTCGAGTTTGCATTATAAATGAATAAGAATAAATGTTTCGAAGTATAAAAAAGCCGATTTGGAATAAGAAATATATAATTTTTTAAAAAGAAATAAAAGTGAAATGTGATAGATTATGAACACACTACATAGAATTTTCTTTCAGATGAATTTTCATTTGGGGGAATTATTATTTGATATAATTCCCAATTTAACTGATTTTTCACACTACAGAATTTTTACTTAACCGAAAAATCATTTAACAGAATTTCTAATTGATATAATTTTCATTTGTCCTAAATTTCAAATGGCCGAACAAACAATCGACAGAAAGATTTCGTCGCGATTTTTAAAATCAACCAATCAGAAATTATCCATAAAATTGTGATTGGTTGATTTTAAAAATCGCGACGAAATCTTTCTGTCGATTGTTTGTTCGGCCATTTGAAATTTAGGACAAATGAAAATTATATCAATTAGAAATTCTGTTAAATGATTTTTCGGTTAAGTAAAAATTCTGTAGTGTGAAAAATCAGTTAAATTGGAAATTATATCAAATAATAATTCCCACAAATGAAAATTCATCTGAAAGAAAATTCTATGCAATAAAATTCTACCCAATAAAAATACTTTAAAATGCCTATTATGTTAAATGAAAATTCGAGAAAATAAAAATTCTGACAAATAAAAATTCTGTGAAGTGAATTTTCGGTTATACAAAAATTCAGTAATATAGAAATTCGGTTTTGATGAAAATTCTGCAAAATACTAATTCGAACAAATAAAAATTCGGCTCAAAAATAATTATGACAAATGAAATTCCATGAAATGAATATTCTAACTTATGATTTTTAGAACATAATCATGCGTCTCAATTAATATTATTGGTAAGTTTCATGTGAATCGGTCAACAATTATGGGCTCCACATTTACGTAAAAATCAAGAAAAAAATTTTTTTTCATAAAAAATAGAAAATTTAAAAAAATTATGAGTGTATTGAAATTCCCTGAAATGTATATCTACCGATTTTTTTCATCTTAGGTTCAAATTATTCAGAAAATAATGTGGAATTCATAACTGATGATAGCCGAGATGGGCCAGTACATTTGTGTTAAAGTTAGTCCAAGCCCACTGTGGGATTGGTTTGATACTTTGGTAAATAGTTGACCCATATGATAGTAACAAAATCTTAAAATATAAACTTATTTTAAAAAAAATTATAAACAGTAGAGAGGGTTGAAGTTTTAAGTTGCTAGGTAACACTGTTATTTTCAAATCTAACTTCTACAATAACTATGGATTTTAATTTCTCAATAGTGATTTTTATTGGGTTTTTCATGTAGTTTTCAATGCCAAATTTTTTTTTTTTAAATAACCCTTATTTTACATTTTTATTCCCTTATGGCCCCTTAAAATTTTTTTTTATTTTTATTTGAAAGCTGAAATTTAAAAGGGACAAAGGTGTTAAAAATGAAAAAAGGTTTGGGTTAATAAAACATTTACATATCGAAAATATATCTAACAATATGTATTGACAAAAAATTTGCTTCTCCTTTATTTATATAATAATTTTACTAATTTTATGTTTCTTGATAATTTATAGAGTCCTTGTGAATCAACGCATTCTCAATTTGAATCTTCGAATGACGAAGACAATAATAAAGTAGTTAATGATTCTCAAATAGAAGTATTAATTAATCCAGAAATACCATTGAATTTAAAAGAAGAAGAAGAAGTAGAAGAAGATAATGAAATAAATTCTACTTCTGCATTGGAGGTAAAAATATTATTCTTAAATTTTTTCATATTAATTTAAAATTGACGAGTATAATTAAAATTATTTATTTAAATATATAGGACTCGTTATATGTCGAACAAAATACACAACAGCAATGTACAGAACGAAAGGAAGAATTTTATCAACGAAAAATTAAAATTCTACAACAAAGACTAAAACGTAGAGACGAAAAATTGAAAAAATTATCGACTATTGTAAATGCCATGAAGAATAAAAATGATTATAATGAATTACTAGAAAAAGAATTAAAAAAAAGAGGATGCTCCGACTATGTTGTGGAACTTTTTAGAAATGAAATGGACAATGAAGGAAGGAATAAATCAGGTTTTCGTTATACAGAAAAAATGAAAAAATTCGCTTTAACTATTTATTCATATTCTCCAGAAGCATATAGGTTTCTACGAAAGAAATTACATTTGCCAAATGAATCAATGCTTCGAAAGTACATTTTGCAGTCATCTAACAGAGTACCTTTCTCATCTGTAAAAAATTCTATTCAAAATGGTTAGAAATTGTCTAATTGTTTCAGATGTTTTCCATCTTTGTTCATAATTTTGTATAATAGTAGAGATTCGATGGGAAGATTTTTCAGCAGTTTGAGTTTAATATTTCGCAATTTAAAAGAAAAAACAAAAGTGTATAAAGTTCGACATTTATTTAAAATTTTAATTAAGTTGTAATGCTGGTTGTTTAAATAAATAATTTTCATAAAAAAAGAGTACAATGCATATTCAATTATTAACATAAGGTAAGCTTACATGTAAAATTTGTAATTTCGCGACACCATTACCGGCACATGACCGCGCAAAATTTTTAACTGTCACACACGCTGACAAAACAGGAATTTGCTCCCTCGCTGACAAAAGACAACACAAAAATGATTTTGTTTTTTTTATGGTTGGTCATATGTTCCCCACCAGGAATGCCAATTATAATGGTGGACATTTGCGCGTTAATAAAAACTCACGTGCACAGTCCACATTAATTGAACGCTAAATACTTATCTCAAATTACGCTGAAAAATACCAAAGGGAGATTCCAACCAAGTCAAACCATCGGTGCATTGCTGATCTCAAAACAAGATTAACCATGAAAAAACTCAGCAACGTTGAAATGACGACATTAAGACGACGTTGACTGACACTGATAAATCCAAATATGATAACGACAAATAACACATACAATAACTCATATTTATTTAACAAGAAATAAAGATTTATTTAACACAAATATAACAATTACTTAAAAGAATAATTAAGCGTATAACACGATAATTAATTATGAGTCCCGCGAAAGGTTCTTCCTTTCAATACGATCCAAAATCGACTGCATATTGACGCCGACTTCCCCTAGATCTCCTAATCTGTTAAAAGGGGTTATCACTCTCTCTATACTCTGTTCCAGGAGAGATCGATATTTTTCTGCGCATCTTGTTGTAAAAGGGTGTATTTTTAAGTGAATAAGGCGTTTTCTAGATTTTTTTTCTGATAAACATAGCCAATGATATGAAAAGGATTGTAACATGTGTTGATTTTCCTATAACTAAAATCAAGCAAACATATTTAAAATTTTTGTGACCTGCGAGCCTGGTCTTCAAAAGGCAGTCGGAAGGGTCTTTTATGGTTTTATGGCTTTTCATTGCAAAATTAAAAATTGTTGGAATTTAAAAAAATAATTGTATAAATATTATATTTGCAATGTACAGGTTAAAACAATTACAACGGTATAAAATTTTTTGCAAATACTATAAGATTAGAGTTTGTACATATGTAAATCATGAAATTGTGTATATAACTTTTCCAAAATTATTTCTTTGGATTTAAATATTTTTTATTTTGCACTAAACGACCCTAAAATGGATAAAAAAAATTTAGTTTTCAATACACATGTTTCTTCAAATTTAAAAGAAATTGAAAGAGAAAGCTTATTTGCTGAAAAGGAAAATAATATACGCCTCCTTTTATAGTTTTCTGCGCGTAAAGGGCCCAAATTCGTCCTGAAAAATATCGATCTCTCCTGGAACAGAGTATAGACGCTGACATTGATTATGACAACCCAAGACGAGGAGGTATGGAACGCTTTAAGTTGAATAAGAGCGCATTCACGGTGCGACGAATATTATTGGACTCGTATTGTCGTAAACCGACACTGATGAAGGTAAAACGCGCAACGAATTCAAACGCTATATATGATCTACCATATTAGTACAATAAATCGCGTTAATTTCCTTAATCAACCGATGTAACATTATCGGGAACATGCTCCGAGGCCAATGTTTCATATCGGCATCGGGTCCAAAACGCTTATATGATACTTAATAAGGGTTCATTTTTTTATCAAATTACTCAAAATTTTATACACTTTTTTTAGAATAACTATTTTTATGCTAAAAATGTCATGGAGGCAACATTTTGCAAAAAAAATGGATTTTTTGCACCTATTTCTTAAAAATATTTTAGATTCCGGTAGAAGTTCGAATTATCAATGTTTATTGTTATTTTTACCCCAAAATGAAGAGTTTAAGAAAAAAATTGAGGTCCTGAGTTAAAACATGATATGCCTTGTTTTTCGACTAATTTGACTGGACTAATATATAAATGTCAGAATTATAATTAAAAATTATTTATTTCTATAAATGACATATACATATATATTTTTTAAAATTTATAATTATATAAATTATCAGTTGTAAGCACGATTTTATACTTGATTAAAATATTTGTTAACACCAAACTAAATACCATGAAACTATGTAGAAACCATCGTTTTATTATTACTTAAAAAATTCTGAAAAAAAATTGAGAAGTATCCGACGACACCAACAAAAAACTGGAAAAATAAATATTATTGTTTTGTTCACATTATAAATATATCACAATCCGCGCAAATCGTTTTTAGACCTTATTAAAACATGGTAAAATTGAGATGGAATTCTATGAAGTCTAAAATATAATTAGAAAGGTGCGTTATGTGCGAAAATTTATATAATTTACGAACTTTTACTTTATATAATTTTACTTAGTTTTTTTAAAGTCCAAAAACTACGTCCAAGTTTTAATTTATTGTTATATGGACTATTTTTTAAATATAGAGCCCATTTTCACCGTGCGGGTAAATTTAATCTTCCCAGAGATTAAACACGGAGAGACCGCCAGTTGGAAAAATTACTAAAAAAATTTACAAGTAGCGGAAATAAGGTTACATTGTCAAATATTGCTGTAGGAAATCGAAAATTCTACTAGCAGCATACTTAATAAAACCTGTAGACTATAGTAAAATTGTACACAAATTGGAATAGAAATTACTATAGTCTACAGTTTTATTAAGTATGCTGTATGACAAAGTAACCTTATTTCCGCTACTTGTAAATCTTTTTAGTAATTTTTCCAACCGGCGGTCTCTCCGTGAAGGGATTATATACGCTATATTTTGCGTCTGCACAAATTCTGTAAACCAAACAATATGCGCAGACGCAGAATATATCTACTGCCTTGAAAATAAAATTTATCCACATGGTAAAAAAGCGTGCTCATAATTACATGAATTAATGTCGGCACAAAAAAAAATTTTTTTTTTTTGAAATCGATTTTTCAATTGTCAGGGGCTAACACGAACGGCCGGGCCGTACAAATTTTATACGCCCTTTTATTTTCCGGCGGCTCATTATGAACCTCTACAACGTTTACGATCTCACTTTTCAATTAAATGAATTTAACTTAAAGAAATAATTTCTACAACTTTTATTTTCAACAGTTTCTAAGTCTAAGTTAAACTTAAAAAACAATATTATCTATTCATGAAAATTTTTCTATTTTCAAAATTTGAAAAAAATTTATAACAATCTTATCTTTTAAAAATCTAATGGCCAAGACATAGAACATTCTCAGAACGTCTTTAAGACGTCTCAAAGACATCCGTTAAAATAAATCCTGAGGACGTCTTTTGAACAATTGTGCCCGGGAGGTTGCCTGCAAAAAATCTTTCAGGAATCACGGTTTCCTTGCTTCAAAATTTTTAAAAGTTGCAGCGAACAATAATAATCGTAGCAACCTGCTTTGGAGGTTGAAAAATTTTTTTGCGCATCCGTAGGATCCTCCGATTACAACTGCGTATCGTGTTAAGTTTTGTAAACTTGCAACAAGTTTGCCCTGCAAGTTTGTCGCAGAGGACTTTTTGTTGCTTGCACCAAACTTGCTACATGTTTACACTGCAATCTTGCACGGCAAGCTTCCTGCAAGTTTTCGTACTGATTGGAATCCTATGCCAAAAAATTAAAAAGAAACATATTTGTCAATTTCAAAATGGTACAATTTTCATAACTTTTTCAAAACGGTTTATTGTTAGATGTCTATTCAATTTACGATATAATATTTAAATTAAAATTTTTACCTTTATCACAAATCCGAATTCCGAAACATTAATTCCATAAACTGAAAATGAGAAAGGTAGTAGACAAGTCTGTGAATGGAAGAAATCCATCTGAAACATTTATCAAATTATTAACAATATTGTAATGTAGGTATTATATTTAAAAATATTAATATTAAGTATTAACATTACCTCTTCTTTTAATAACATATTTTTTGGGACATTTTTCATATTTGATAAAATATTTTTTATTTTTTCAATCTGCAGTAATAAATTAAAAATTTAGTAATAAATTCTATAATTTATAATAAGTTTGTTAAAAAAAATATTATTTCTTACCTCTATTTTGATGCGGAAACATGGTATTGTTATGAGAAAAAATTTATAAATTATTAAAATACATCTGAGTGTCAGGTAAAAAAATAGCAAGTAGTGACGAATATAATAATGAACCATTGCATAGTAAAACCAGATTGTTAAGCCAGAGAAATTTGATGCCATTTGTAAAAGTAAATGTATGCCAAAAATTTCTTTCATTTCTTGTAATTCATTATACAGTACCAAGTGACAACGCCTAAAAATTGTAATTATTTTTACAAATAATGTTAAATCTATGCCCCTTAGAAATTGTTTATTATATTGTAACGCGACATTTTGTCGCGTACAAAAGTCCTAAAAATAATAATGTTAAATAATTTTATTTAATGTAAATAAACGACACCAGGGTGGGAATCCAGCCATAATGGCTGTAAATTATACATTGTAAAAATTGTTTTCTTTTTTTATACTCACTTCATTTTGTTAAAATAATAAATTCTCTTATTAACAACCAACTTGCCAAAGTCGTCAGGTTAATAGTCGACTAATAATAATAAGATTTAAATCACCATTCAAAAGAGCACAAAAAAATCTTTCGAAAATAAATAGATTAAAATTTTGTTCATCCTTTTATATAGAAGTTACGATTTTTGAAAAAATCCACTGTTAACATTTGACGAAAAACTTCAATTTTAAAGTAGGATCACTTCAGGAACTTTGCCTCATATATAACTTACCTAAATATTTCTAATTTTTCTTTCTTTTCCTTTAACGAAAATCCCATTTGGACATCTTTAGATAACTGAGAGATAAACAATCGACGATTTCTTTTGTGTTCTAAATTTACAGTGTAGTATTTTTTCAGCAAAATATTTAACATTTTTAATTTTATTTCAATGAACCTATTGCATAAAATATCACGATTATTATTTCTGGAATGTCGAACACTTTTTGTAATAAACAATTTTTATCCTATCAAATATATACTCACTTAATACAGAAGTTAATACTTATATCTACGACAGTTGTCGTATAAAATGGTAGTAAAGATATGAAGAACCGTGAAGTTTCTTTAAAGTAAATCAGTTCTGTCATACAAATTAGAATTAAATATACAATTATTAAAACGACCAGTCGTTTAAAGGTTTTACAATAATTTTGCCTTAATCCCAAATACTCAAAACAATCATCTACTGATTGCATACTTTCCGTTAGTTTATACATTCTCTGTGAAATTGAAACAATCACAAAATAGTCATTATTAATTAAATTATAATTTTGAGTAAAAATTATTACAAAAATATTGTAACTTACTTGACGATTGAACCAACCGTAAATCATTGCCGATGTTGCTGCCATTGTATTAAGGAGCAGAGTAATTGGAAACAAATGATTCTGCACATCTTTGAAGGCAATACTGAACGATTGTATATTGACATAAGTAATACACCAAAAAAGACTTGTAATTATAAATATAGGAATAAGAAATAAATAATTTCTTTTATTGCCAATTGGATAATCATTGAAACCTAAACCTGTTATCCAATTAAGTATTAAAAGAGGATACACTGATTCTCGAATATTTTTCGGACGCCAATTCATAGTTCTTTTAAAAAAATCGCTTTATTATAATTGTCAACGAAGCTTTACGGTTGACTTCTCCTATAACACTGTGGTAGTATTAATAATTTTGCCAGTACGGAAAATAATATCTTTGAAATATATCTTGCAAATTATACCTTATGAGAACAATTATATACAAAATTGTACTCATTTCACGCAACATTTGATTATAAGCAATTTATAAATTATATACTATGATTTATTCAGATTGATTTTTATCTATTTCTACATGTCCCAGTATCTCTATATTGATTTTTTGCAAGAGTGTTATCTATGTGTTTTTTTGAAATTTTTTTAATTGTATCAGGTAAAACATTATTTTATAATGTAACAATTTTGTTTGCAATTTAAAAAAATGCGACTTTCTTTTGGTTTTTTCATAAAAAAATCAAGTAAATTCATTTACACATTTTTTGCAAAAGAATTTTATTTTCTATAGTCTTAAATTTAATTTATTGCAATTCAATTAAAAAACAAAAAAAAGTGCGGCTATATTGCTGAATAAGGATTTTTCTTAATTTTTAAAATTTTTGGTTCATTCCTTGTGGAATATCATTATTTCATCATAAAAAAGAGAAATTCGGTGGGAGAAGACAAAAAAATTAAGTACTGGAAGACAAGGATGGTATATTTTATCTAAAAATGACTTTTTTTTATAAAAATAAATATTTAATTACAAATAGCTGGTACCCCCGCTTTTCTTCGCACCCCGCACTCTTCCTTATTTTGACACGCAGATTATGTAAAATACATTGTCCGCAGAATACTTTCAGTCGTTTGTTTGTGTTAATAATTCACTTTCTTTACTAAAATGGTCATAAAAGTCCAAAAATGATAAAACTTTTCCAAATTTCAAGATTTAAATTCCAAATTTCCAGAAAAATGTAATTTTAGTACCCCAAACAAGCTTTTTTGAAAGCTAACATTTACTCCTTGCAAAATATACTGGAAACTTTAATTTTAAAATGCATTACTAGGGTGATAATATTATTTCTCAGAAGAAGCTATAGATCAAAGTTTGAAAATAAAACAAAAAAACTTATTTTCGCTGCCAAAAAAAAGCGCCAAGTGGATTTTTTAATCGATATGACCGAAAGTATTAAGCGGACAAAGTCGAGTGGGATACGCAGCAGCGGCCCAAGTGACCGAATAAGTTTTTTTTCGTACGTGTGTCTAATTTAAGTATAATACGTAAAAATGCGTAAATTGCGTAAAATACGTTTTATACTTAAATTGGACAAAAGGACGAAAAAACTTACGCGGTCACTAGGGCCGCTGCTGCGGATCCCACTCGCCAAGTAAAATTGTTTAGATTCGTTGAAAATTTGTTAGTTGAGGGTTTTTGGGGTCACTGATTACGAATCTGATGTTAAATTTTCAAAATCCAATATGGCGGAGAAAAAATTGTTTAAATTCGCTTTAAACTTGTTACTCGGGGGTTTTTGGAGTCTTTAATGACGAATGTGATGTTACTTTTTAAAAAATTTAAATGGCGTATCTAATATGGTGGACGAAAAATTTAAAAACCATTATATTTGACGAAATTTTTATATTTAAAGGTTTCTTAAGTTACTAATAAATGATTTCTTCAAGAATGGATTTTAAATTTTTCGTCCACCATATCAGATACTTCATTTAAAATTTTAAAAAAGTAACATCACATCAGTCGTAATCATTGACCCCAAAAACCCCCAAGTAACAGGTTTGAAGCGAAACTAAACAAATTTTTTAACTTTCCGTCCGCGATATTGGATCCGCCATATTGGATTTTAAAAAATTAACATCAGATTCGTAATCAGTGACCGCAAAAACCCCCGAGTAACAAATTTCAAGCGAATCTAAATAATTTTACAACTTTCAGTACGCTATAGGGTCATTTGGGGTAAATGTAAACGGATTTGCTTAGTTTCGACAATAACATAAGTTATTTATTTTAAAAAGAAATACTTCCGGTTTTCTACTGCATGAACTTGTTACTTCACTTACCTAGAAACATTTTATGAGGTACAAAAAAATATTGATCAACTTGAATCGCTTAAAACTGACTGTTTACATTTACCCCGAGATTTGGAAATTTTCCCAAAATTCGGGGTAAATGTAAACACCCCTGTAGTTTAAAGAGGTTTAAGAAAAAAGTTATCCCAAGTATACTACTGTGTAAAGGGATGTAAAAACTGAAAAAAAATTCTTGGTAGATGTAAAATAATTGAACCAATTCCCAGATAGCACGTAAGCTTGCAGCAACCTTGCGGCAAGCTTGCCGCGTAATATTGCCAACCTTGCATGGAAAGTTTACCGCAAGCTTGCAGCAAGCTTCAAATGTCCCACCTAACCTAACCTTACATGGTAAGCTTGCCGAAAGATTGCAGTGTAAGGTTACTGCAAGATTGCACAGTAAGATTATCGCAAGATTGCATGGTAAGCTTACCGAAAGATTGCGGTGTAAGATTATTGCAAGATTGCACAGTAAGATTATCGCAAGATTGCTCAGTAAGCTTGCACGGTAAGCTTGTCGAAAGGTTGGTGCAAGGTTGCTAAATAACCTTGCCCAATCAGCAGAGAAGTTTGCATTGAAATGAGGACTATGCGCACTTGCAATCATAAGCACTTACGGCTGCGCAGTAAATTTTTTTGACCTCCCAGGAACTGGTGCTCAATGTATGTACAAAAATAAATTTCCTCCCCCCCCAAAATTTTTTTGTTATATTCCGCAAGCTTGCGCCAAGCTTGCCATAAGGTTGCCGAGAAAACTTGCATGGCAAGCTTGCTGCAAGTTTGCTGCAACCTTCTGTGCTGATTGGCAAGGTTATTTTTCAACCTTGCACTAATCTTGCGACAAGCTTACCGTGCAATCTTACGGAGTAATCTTGCGATAATCTTACTGTGTAATCTTGCAGTAACCTTACACTGCAATCTTTCGGCAAGCTTACCATGTAAGGTTGGGTTAGGTGGGACATTTGAAGCTTGCTACAAGCTTGCGGCAAACTTGCCATGCAAGGTTGGCAATATTGCGCGGCAAGGTTGCCGCAAGTTTGCTGCAAGCTTACGTGCTATCTGGGTTGATTGATATGCAACATATAAAATAAGCAATCATTACCATAACAAAACTAGTAATGTAAAAACTTGAATAACTTCAATAAATTTTAATAAATTTTCATTCAACTTGGTGAAAATAAGTTTTTAAGGTTACTGAATAAGATTCTAAAATCGAATTTTTAAATTTCAAAATGACAAATCCAAAATGGCGGACAAACATAAAAATATTGTTAAAAATTGATCAAATTTGCTTGAATCTCGCTACTCGGGGGTCTTTGAGGTCACTGAATACGAATTTAAAGACAAATTTAAAATTTTAAAAATGGCGGATCAATCAACCAATCAATCCACCAATCAATCACTCAATCAACCAATCTATAAATCAATCATCCAAGCAACCAATCTATCCACCAATCAATCAACCAATCATCCAATCAATCCACCAATCAACCACTCAATCAACCAATCCATAAATCAATTGTCCAATCAATCAACCAATAAATCCACCAATCAATCACTCACTCAATCAATCCACCATTCAATCACTCAATCAACCAATCTATAAATCAATCATCCAAGCAACCAATCTATCCACCAATCAATCACTCAATCATCCAATCAATCCACCAATCAATCAAGCAATCCACCAATCAACCACTCAATCAACCAATCTATAAATCAATTATCCAATCAACCAATCAATCCACCAATTACTCCATCAACCAATCCATAAATCAATCGTCCAATCAATCAACCAATCAATCCATCAATCAATCCATCAATCAATCTATCAGTCAATCACTCACTCTTATTCTAGGATTCCTACGTACCTGAGTTTTATTCACTAATCGTGAAGAATCGCTTTCCTATATTTTAAACACGTAAATACACTATGCAATACTATGCAGGTCTATACCTGCAACTGACTAACACGAAGGAGATATAAAAGAAGATCCAATTTCGTTTTTTATGTAATTTTACAGGGCCAAAATAATGTAATTGTGAAATAGAAGCAAATTTATTTAATTATTTTCTTTTAAAATGCAGCAGAAATTCTGTTTACATTTACCACGAGTTTCCGAATTCTCGGGGTAAATGTAAACACTTAATTATCTATTAAATGAATTGACGAAATTAAATAATCAAAGTCAGCTTTTGTTAAGGGATTCATAAGGAATAATTAGAAATTTTAGTTTGAATTGTTAGTTCATTTTTATTCAAATGCGAGACTAAATACTGTAACAGTAAAACTTTGATTTTCAATCTTTCATGCATTAAGCGACAAATTGGAGTATGGCTTTGACAATTGTCGAAAAAAAAATTGTCAATACTCAGAACCTGTTGCAGGTGAGCTGAGGTTAAAATATTGGGGTCGAACTTAATTTTAAATCTGTAAATTAAACTGCAATATCTGCTGTTTACATTTACCCCTTGTTTACATTTTTCCCAAATGACCCTATTGGATCTGCCATCAAAAATTTTTTAAAATTAATATCAGATTCGTAATCAGTGATCCAAAAATCACCCGCCCCTGTTGAAAATTCCTGTGAAGGAACACACACAGGATCCTATTGCGAGTTCCATCGTATGTTCATATGTGGTTTACCACACAGGATCCTGTAAGGAACTTGTGTGTGAACTATCATGGTTTCTCATATGTTGAAAATAATTACAACAGGGTACCTCACGATTTTTCCTATGTAAGATCATCTACAAGTTCTTTTATAATCAACTTTTAATGTAAGATCCTACGTGAATCCGATAGATGATCTTGCGTGTGTTTCTTCACGGGATGCTTTTTACGAAATGTTGTATAAAAGTGTTCCAAAATAGATTCCTGCATGGTAACCTTAAGAAGATCATTTACAAATTTTGTACGTACCTTTTTGTTGCTAAATAATGAGTGCTCCTACGTGGTATCCTTTGAAGTTTCTTTCACAAGTTCGTACGTTCTTTGCTCTTGGTAAGAAGTGTGTGTTCCTACATGATATCCTTTGAAGTTTCCTTCACTAGTTCGTACCTACAGTACTCTTTATGGGTGCGTTACTATGTGGTATCCTTTGAAGTTTCTTTCGCAAGTTCCTACGTACCTTGCTCTTGATAAGTAGCATGTGTTAATTCCTACGTAGAAACTTTAAAAGTTTCCTTAACGAGTTCGTACACCTACATCAATACTAGTATATATTCCTACGTGTGATCCTTAGTATGTTGACTCTATTGAAAATTCCTATAAAGTTTCCCACGTGTGATCCTT